AATGAATGTCTAACTGAAAATGTATGCATTCACACATAAAATACACATAATACAACGTTTGCATTTAAAAATCACCTAAGTTAATAAGTCCCAAAAGGTGAAGCCGGTTGTGATTGAGATTTTGATTTTAATTGCGATTTTGATTTCCTTTTGCTTGGCACCACATGAGCTTTGGATTTTGATGAGGATCCATTTTTTGGTAGAGGAAAAGATGATTGTGATGGCACTGGTGATCCACATGTCAACCTTGTATTACCACTTTCCTTGCATCGACTACATGTCGATATCCTCTTCTCTTCACCCTTAGATGGTATACGATCGTGATGTTTTGGTCGATCAGGTAGCCTGTTGTCCATGACTGGTGGCAAAACTGTTTGTAAGTCATCTGGTATGTCCCACTCAGAAGGATGTGGACATGAGTAGACAATCTCGATATAAGTCTGTCGATATACTTCTGTAGTGTAGCAATACATAGCGTATGTGCTTGAATCATCTTGGTTTAGATGAAGAGCAACTTTTATAACATGACCACACGGATAACCAGATGTTTGCCATTTCTTACAACTACAAGTCTTTGCATTTAGATCGACAAGCTCATTTAAGTTATTATCCAATACTTCAAACAAACGTGTTTGAACATGGTTCAACTCTCCATGACATTGACTTCACAACACGTTTCGTTATCTTTTTTTCAGTCCATGGTGTAACACGACGTTCCAATGTTCCTGTAAATTTAAATAAATAATACTTAGTAAAATATATGATAATTTACGAATTTAAAGAAATAATACATGCATGGTTTCTTTTCTTGTAGTACCACTATTAAATAGAGGCTCAAAAAACTCCATTAACATATTAATGGGTAATTTACGGGAATGACGACTTAGAGCGTTGATTGATTCTACACTATTAGACGTCATGAAACCATATCTTGCTCCAAGTTGATGTACTCTTGACCATCTTTCAAACCCGACATCTTCTAGTGTTTGAGCACATTGAGGCAAAACACGTCTTAAACAATTTATATGCTTATTAAAATCCACTTCCCGATAAGCTTTTACAACATTCCATATATCCATTTGTGATTTTTTATACCAGCAGACCTTAATTTTAGATTTCTGTACAAATAAACACCACAAAGTCCATGAAAAACATCTGGGAAACACCTTCTAACAGCGTTGTCAATTGAGTTTTCCTATCGGATATGATTTACAAATTGCTAATATGACCTATGCAATCCCTAAGATGCCCCATAAACCATGTCCATGAATCAGAGGTTTCAGATTTGCTAACCCCGTAAGCTATTGGCAATATCCCATTGTTAGCATGCATGGCTACTGCTAATAAGTTTACTCCAAGGTATCGACCTTTCAAATGTGCTCCATCAACTATAATAATTGGGCGCATGCAAGTAATAAGCGAACGAATCTACAAAATCATATACACAAGAAATATAATCATTTAAATGTGAAATGCATGCAACTAACAAAAATGAGTCAACACAATTATAATTATTTACTAATCGCAGCACCAATGGAGATAAACAACAACTCAAAGCGTCCATCTCTATTTGTTTTGATATGAGTTACCGATCCAGAATTTTTCAGCTTTAAATTATGATAATAAGCCGGCAGTTGGGCAAACGATGCTTCTGGCGACCCCCTCAACAATTCCAAGGCATAACATTTGACTCTCCAAGCTTGAGAATATGAGATACTAATCTTGAACCGACCATTCATGTTAGTCATAATTTCATGTCCCTGATATACCCTTCCATTCAAAAACATTAACTCAGCCAGAAAACCACCCAACACCTTTTTGTTTGCCTGTCTATGGTGAGGAAAAACTTGGGTTCTTGAAGATGTATGTTTATCAATAAAAGTCCTAACTTGAAACATTTCGCAATATTTTATCCTCTTTGCAATCATACACCACGTACAGTTTTTGTCAATCATATACCTTGTTTCGAAATGATCTTTGCTTGATTTGTTAACTTTTAGTTGATAGCCATCTTCTACACATTTCGTATACAAAGCTATCTTCAAGTCTTCCTTTGTATCAAAACAATCATCTTTCTTGATACGAATAACTTTGTGTAACAATCAACTGTTATCTTTGCCAACTCTTCTTCCGGTATCTGAAGTAATTCTGGCATATTCCAGTTATACTCCCGTGGCATTTTCTTCCTTTTCCTCTCTTCGGGAACTTCTTCTTCTTCTTTTTCTTCTTCAGGGTTATATGAATTACAGAATGGATGTTCAACATGTTCATTCACAGTCGTAACTTCCTCCTCATTATCGTCAACAACATCTTCCTCGGCAGCGGCTGTTTCATCATCAAAATTCGGGTATTGACCAATATCAAAATCATTACATGCAGGGTCTGTTTCTTCTTCCATCACATCATCAAAATCCGAGTATTGACCAAGATCAAAGTTCGGGTATTGACCAAGATCAAATTTCAAATACTGACTAGTACTCACAATTTTTTCTGTTGGCTCATAATCGTCTAACTGGTTAATACGAAAACCAGAATTTGGTGCTGAAAGTTGATTGGGATTAGGATTAGGAAAAGGTTGTGGGTTTTGAGTTGTGTTTGATTTTGTGTTTGGTATTGGAAATGTGGTTAAACAAAATTTGCTTGGTGATGAAATTGTGGTGGAACCATTAAATTTTGGGTTGAAGAACTTAGTTGATTACTACCCGCTACTGACCCAACTTCACTACTTCTAGGTTCAACAACATACAATGTAACATCATCTTCTTGCGAAACACTAATGTAAGCAATGAATCGTTCAGCATCTTCATTGTCAGTTAACAAATAAACTTTACCTTTTCTCTGATAAGATAACATAAATCCACTTAGAGGCTCTAAATTCAATTTATTTGCAACACGTAACATTAAAGTTTCATAAGTTAACTTTTTTAATGACAGTTTTAGTTGAAGATTCATGGGTAAAGGCACATATTGTAAAACACCATAAACATTCTTCCATGACCCTCCAAAACACAAATCTATCCAAACATGATCAACATTCGATGATTTCATTCTACAAATTATAAATTAATACCTTTATTAAGTTGATAGTTGATAATTTGGGAGAGAAATCATTGAAAAATTATATAGAAATAAAATTATGTAAAAAAAATTAGAGATGGGGAAGGATATCGTTGGATATAGGGAAGGATATCGTTGGATATAGGAACGGATGTCGCCGGAGAGAGTGATAGATGGAGATGAAATGAGTTGCGATTTAGGGATTTAGGTTATGAGTTGTTGCTGTTGCGTTGTTATATACCCAAAACATTTGTGTTGCGAAACTAAAACCTGTTGCGAATTTGAAATTCAGTTGCGAATTTGAAATTCAGTTGCGAATTTGAAATTCAGTTGCGAATTTAACTTTGCGTTGCGAATTTGACTATCGCGTTTCGAATTTGACTTCTATGTTGTGATTTACAAATTCATGTTGCGATTTACATATTCGCATTGCGAAATTGGAAACTGGGTTGCGAAATTAGAGTTCGCGTTGCGAATTTGTTGCGATTTACATATTATAAGGCATTTTTGGTCACTGATGTTATTTTCTCTAGTATATTTAGGGTTGTGGTGGCTGCTGGATCGATATCCTGGCACAGTTTTAGTAAAAATATTCGACTTTGGGCACCAGTATTGCCCTTCCTGCTGGTTTTAGGTACACATCTTCCATGACTCTAAATACACTATTTCACTCACCTCCTTTAATGCCACCAGCCAGTTGCCTTAAATGCATTCTCAACTTCCTCCTTTATTCTAACCTCCATTCCATTAACTATCCCCCACCTTTTTCATCTCCACAATTCATTCTTTTTTAAACCCTTTTCAACAAGTCTTTATATACCTCAATAACCATTCTCCATTAGCTCAAGTTTTCTTTCGAGAGAGATAAACATGGATGGAGTTGGGAGCAATGGTAGAGAGTTCAAGGATAATTAGATATTGTGTTGAAAATATTTTGATATTTCGATATAACAAATTAAGTTAAATGAATTTTAAGATTTTCCAAATGATTTTCTAAGTATATTCGATAGAATTATTCGAATATCAAAAATTACTCCAAATCTTTCAAAGATCATTTTTAATCCTTACTCAAAGTGTAAAATTAAGTTTTAAACTTAAAACAATTTCAAAATGATTTTACAAAGTATTTCGAACCATTTCAAAGCCAAAAATTCCAGATTGCTCAGAGGGAACCGATTCCCCCCAAGGGGGTGCCGATTGCCCCCTGAATGGTTTGACTCCGAGAATTCCAGTATGCTCGGAGGGAACCGATTCCCCCTTGTATAACGGTCGAAATATTTGAATTTTACACTTAGGGAACCGATTCCCCCCACGCTCCAAACTATTTTATTAATTGTTTTCACACTAAAATGGCTATATTATTTTCTCTAATTATCCCCAACGTTAAGAAGTGATTCAAGGTGTATTTAAGCAAGCTTAGAAGCCATTGATCAACAACAAGAAACATCAAGCAATTAGAATCAAGAGAGAATCAAAGAGAAAACATCAAACCTCAAGTTTGAGCATTTCAAGCCTATTTTTCATTCAATATTCATTTTGCTTTCAAGAACACTTATTGTGCTCAATTGTATTTATTCTTGAGTGTTCTTCTTTCTTTGTTTTAGAATTGTGCAAACATATTTGCCTTGTGAGGTTTTTCTTGTAAGTTTGCAAATTTGTATTTCTCTTTGAGAAAAGAGTGTTCTCAAGAATTGGGGTATATTATTGAGGGAGTTGTAAGGTTATCTCTTTGGCCTCAAAAGAAAGAACAAATTAGTGAATTTGTTGGAAAATCCTTAGTATGGATAGCTAAGGTAGTGGACATATACTTTGGTTGATAAAGTCGAACCACTCTAAATCGCTGTGCAATTTCTTTCAATTTTCTACAAAAGCTTCCACAAAAATTTTTATTGCCAATTCACCCCCTCTTGGCCGATTCGGTCAATCGATTAACTCAACATATTGCGATGGATTATTAAGGGTTCTGGGGTTAACCCTGAAGTTGGCAGCAACAATTTTAACGGGTGTGGACAAGGAGACCAAGGTGGTGTTTGTTTTTGTAGAGGTAAAAGGTCTGCAGTCTGCGGATCACATCTGCAGGCATCTGCAGCAGAAGAGATGTACCAAAAGTCTGCAGTCTGCATGAAGAAGACTGTTTGTTTTTTAACGTCTGCAGACTGCTAAAATAAACTGAAATATAAATAAACTGATTTTTTAAACTTAAAAGAGTTTTGCAATACTGAGATTTAAATAATTTTAGTTTTACAATGCTGAAATTTAAATAATTCATACAACTACAATAATAATTTTTTTAGAAAAACAAACACCACCTTATTAATTCTATTATAAGTCTCACATAATCACATGTATTATTAGTTTTATAAGTTTTATAGAATAAAATTTATAAATGATCATTAAATTATATGATTTTTTTAAATATGCAATTATGTAATACTTTTAATTTTTTAAATATATATATTCATAATTTATTTTTATAATTATATGATATTTTTAGAAAATATTTTTTAATTTATCAAATTATTTTATGATTATTTTTTATTTAATTGTGATTATATTTTAAAATTTTAAAAACATAATTTATAATTTTTTATATTTTAAAATCTTAATTATCAAACAATGAAATCATTTTTTATTAAGCAATGTGGTTTAAATACTTACATTTTGTATAAAAAGTTTAAATATAATTTAAAAATAACAAATCCAAAAAAATATGATATTTAAACTTAAATCAAAATAATTAAAATAAATATAAAATTTTAATAATATATAAAGAATTTATATGATATAAAATTAAATATCTATAATATAATATTAAAAAATTAATATTTAATTTATTTAAAAATTAATATTAAAATTAATATATATAATATAATATTAAAAATCAATATTTAATTTATTTAAAAAATTAATATTAAAATTAAAATTAAAATCAAATATAATATAAAATTAAATATAAAACCTCTTTGAAGAGGTTAGAAAACGTCTGCAGGCATAAGATCACGTCAGCGCCGCACAGACCACGCGCAGACGTTAGAATAGCTTATGTCTTCTAAAAAAAACGGTCTGCGAAGCTCAATGTCTGCGTGAGGTCTGCGCGGCGCAGACATAAGAGTTTTACAGACCTTACACAGTAAAAGCAAACACCACCCAAGACTATTCCTATAACTATCACATAAACCTTACCCGCTTTGCACGTCCCCGTCACTGCTAAGTGGCACTACATGTCTGCCTTTGTGTGAGTTTTCTTAGTTTCTGTTCCATCCATCAAGATTATGTATGTAATGTCCTGCTTACGTAGATACCATCCATTACAGTATTTTTTTCCCGATAGGAAATAAATTTCTCTATTTCTAGTTAGTCAAGTTAAAAGGAAGGTAGACTTTTCCAAGATAGATTATCTATCACGATACTTAGTTTAGATCTTATGTTTTAATCTTAGATCTTATCAATAGTTGCAGATTTATAAATATATTTTAGGATTGATATATATATTAACAACACAAAATTTTTATATAAGATGGGTACAATGATAAATTTAGAAATATTTTTTTAAGATGAGCACATATATATTAATAATAGAATTTTTTCGTGCCGGTAGACACAAATAAAATTTCAAGATATGCACCATCAGTAAAATAAACAAATAGTATAAATAAATTTAGATTTCAGGATGAGCTTGTACCCACCTTGAATAATCCTTACATCCACCACTGGATGGACACAAATGAAATTTTACGGTAAATACAATAAATAAAATGAATAACTTATTAAAAAAATGGATTTCAGCCCATCTTAATCCGCCACTGACTTTATGATCTTATTTGAAACATAGATATGCCTGACCTGGCCGTACATCATTTTGTTATGTACTTCCTGATATCAAACGCAATAGGATTTTCATACGCAGCAGCATCTCTGGTAGCATGGATGGCAGTTCGGGCATCCAATGACAAGACGGGTATAGTTCTGGTGGTTCTGGACATGACCATAATGGGGTTTTGCTCTTGTCTGCTAATGGGGCAGCAATTGCTGTTGGGATCTTAGGCCAATATGGTAACTCGCATGTGCAGTGGACGGGTGTATGCAATATGCTGGGTGGATTCTGTCACCAAATGACTGCTGCTATAATTTTTTCTTTGGTCGGATCATTGATTTTCTTTTGGCTGGGAGCACTGGCCGTTCTCAACCTTCACAAGAAATCAAGGTAGATGATGGGAATCAAGGAGGTAGAAAGGGCGCCGTTGGTGGTATTAATGTTTAATATCTATTTGTAGCTTTAGCTTTAGTAGGAAAAAAAGTTGGATCAGCCTAGTACATGAGCAATTTATTAAGCTTTGAATTGTGCTAAATTTGAAGCCAGCCTCTTTAGTGTAATTGATGAATTTCATTCTAGAAATATCAAATTTTATTGCACAAGTACTATTTGTGCTTTCCTTTTATTTTCTGCGCATTCTTTACTATGTTAGTGATAAATTTATATGTTTAGGAAGATGAAATGAAATTATCAATGAAAAATACAAAGAAAATACCTAAATTATATAAAAATTTGAAATTTTCAGGGGCTATTATCCCGTCATCTCCCTCAATCCATCCCTATTTACACTTCAAGATTGGTGATCAGATCACCCCATTTACGCAGGCAAGAACAACAAAACAGAAAAAACGAGACAAACTAACACCTACATACATGGTGTACAGTTTTGATACCTACTCTTCAGGCAACTCATTGGGTAGAAAACCTATACACACTTTTTCCAAAATTCAAAGGAAGAAATCTGGTGCACTTTGGACTGTTAGACTATACAAGCCATTGACTAGGCAGTTTGATGTCTTTTTCTTCATCTTTTTTTCTTCTTATTTCAGTTAATAATACAGATCATTAAAGATGTCGTCATAGATCATACGAAGAAATAGTGAAGCAATACCTTTGAAAGTGCTGACATGGTTCCCACAGTAAGTAGATGTTGTAGTTGATCTTGAAGACTATCAATCACATGCATAGTCCTAGCAGAATCTAGATGTTTACAAGTGAACTACATATGATAAATCATACAATGTTGACATATTAGTTTATCATTCATATGCAAAGCATTGGTAATTTGCCCAAATTAACATCATCTCTTTGCCAAATAGATTTCATTAGCCTCTACAGGGTAAACGTAGCTTACACAAAATTTGTTTTCAGATAGCCTAATGTTATCGGTAGTAGGATGGTTACAGAGGAACAGTGTACCTGAGTCCTATGGTTAAAGGCAACCAATATTCTGATGAACGCCATTTCCAAAAGCAAATCAGACGGAGACAAACTAGAGGTATAATTGTGAAAAGCTAGATCATTTTCAACTAGCAAGTTGAAAACTATAGAGGATGTTTATGGATTAAAGAATAATACATCCGCATGGATTCAGCTTCTGCAACTCCTCTTTGCTATTTGCTGCAGTGCACCAAAAAACAAGGACTATAAACCAGGAGAGAATAAGAACGACAAATATAAACTCATTTACCTCTTTGGTTAAGAAACTCCAGTGATAGTGAGTGTTTCCTCTAAAGATTACATATTAAATCGGTGTGGGGTCTTGTCGAAAGTTTATATGAATTCAACAAGGATCTATAAAATCTTGCGTGTGATGAAAATAAAGAAATGTTGTGCTTTCAAGGAAGAGAACTTGACGAACCTGTCTTGCGTTTTGATTTAGCAGGCTGCAGTAGCACGTGCATGGTGATAACATCTTCGGGGAAGTCACCAATTGTTTTTATGCAATAAGCGAGGGTTTTGTTGTTTCTCAGAACTTTACCAGCATGTATGAGTTTCAATTCGTTTAATGATTCTGGCGTGACCGTATGGCCTGAAAATACACAAGAGTCGAGGAGAGAAGGATCATCCAAGATATTTGAAGTTAAATTCCATTACGAACTTTCACAAATTAACTTGCCACATACATATATTTCATACATTTACATATATAAACATTGGCTAGATAAATATATATCATTCGAAAATGTTTTTATATGTACCATGCGCGGGCAATGCTGAAATCAACACATGATCCTCAAATAAAAAAGATAGAAACAACATTAACAAACAAATCAAACTGATGAGCACCAAAGATCTTTAATCCTGTTACAGAGTTCAGGTAGGAGTAAGTTCAGAGGAGGAAAGTGGAAACAAGTAAAGAGATAGAATAACCTTGGGGCCACTCAGCAACAATCTTCTTCTTAAGAGTTGAAACAGTCATAGAGGGCTCGTAACTACCGCGCGCTATATCTTTCCCATCACACAAGCGGAATCTAAGCTCAATAAGTCCCTCGCCCTGGGCCACAGTAGAAGGTTTTGCTCTCCGTTCCCTAGCTTGCAGGTCGAAGTGGAATGTCATAAAAAATGATAGTTCTGTTGTAACTAATGGACTGAGATAATTATGGAGTATTTTAAATAGGTGAAACAATAACAATTACACAGTCACTTAAAAATTTGAACAGGGACATTTAGAATTATACATTTTCAATCATATATATGTTCAGCTAGACTACAGAAAATGAAGAACTTCAGATTTCATTCTTTGAAGATTGTTTCACACTTAGAGAGAAAAACGCATACCTCAATTCAGATAGTATTAAATTAAACTAACCTCATATCCTCAGAGAAATTTGTCTAATATTAATGCATATAAATCAACTTCCAGAACCTCGCCAACAAGGTGAGAACGCCATATGGTCTGATAACTGGTAAGGTTGCTCGTCAATATAGCTAACTCTCAACCAATGTTCCTTTAACAAAAATGCAGAAGTCAACCTCAAGAACCAGACGAATAATAACAACAATATCTTAATATTCTAGTAAATATCTAATTAAGGCTCACGCAAAAGAATCTGAAAAGAAGTGTAATTAAATAAAATCTAATCTAGATTAATTCAGGTAGGAATTTCTATTTCCGGTTCATCTTTTCCTTATTTTTTATGAATATCACAAGAATCATCGTTTATTTCACGTATTATTTTTCGTACTTTTTTTCTCATTAGCCATATAAAACATGGAAAAGTTGGGGAAATCATCGAAAATGATAAAGAAAATCGAAGAAAAAAGAAAAGTAAAAGTCGACAGAGGAAATAGAGGACTACCCGATCACGAAGCCATTGATGGGAATATCAGTAAGAGAGAATTGAAAAAGGAAGGAAAAAAAAAACTTCTTCCAAGTGCCGTGTCGTTGCTCGAGATACATATATAAAGGGAAATAAACCTTTTCGAATTCTCGTTTAATTGTTTGGTAGTTAAAAACAAAATTCCTTTTTTTTAATTGAATAAACAATATAAATGGTGACTAAAATTTAAATAGGTTTCTATTTTCCTTATTGATATTTCAAAATAAGAATTGATCATTATAATTAACAATTTATAATAAATCAATTACTTGTCGTTAATAACCATGATTGGGTTATAAAATGTAGATGTGGTGCGTTTAGGGATGTACATGATACTCGAATCTGACGGGTTTCGACCCGACCTGACTCGACTCGATTGAGTCGAGTTTTTTATAAAAAAAAAATTTGTTCGGGTCGGTCGAGTTTTTTAAAAGGTGATGTTCGGGTCAGGTCAGATTTGAGTTTAGGGTGAAAAATATTCGACCTGACCATATCAATTAAAGTACACGTGGCGTTTTATGAATGGTCTTCCGTACAATCAAGGCGGTTAGCAGCAAATATAGACGGAGGAGGAGGACGTTGCTGATAATTACTAACAAATTTTCTTCAACTACTTGTAAATTTACGTTATGATTATAAAATTATTAAGCTAATCCTTAACATTATCGAAATTAGTTTTTTCGTGTTAGACAAGACGTATTTTCTAATTAACTAACATAATTTTAACCCACCTAGGCATGTTCACATGGGAACAAACTCAAATTATATATAAGCTTGCGAGTTTGGTGGCCAAGATAATTTGATGATTCGAACATTAAATTATTAATAATTCACTCATCATCTTGTCAAGATCTTAGCACAAGCTCAGGTGAAGAGAAATAGATGAACGAAAGTAGGTGAATGAGAGATGTTACTCTCTTTTATTTCATTCAAAAGACTATAATATCTCTAAGGAGACCAACCATTATATATAAAAGAGATTACTAAGTTGATTAATAAATGATCTAACAACTTTAATCGTTTCAGAGACGGAGTCAAAATTTTAGTTCAAAGGGGGCAAAGTATAATCAACAATAGAAAATTGGGAAAAATATAATTAACAATAGAAAATAGAAGATACAAAATCAAAATAAACCACAATTTAAAAGTCTAAATAAGTATTTGTCCCTATATTGTTTTTTGATACATTTGGGATAAATATAAGACATTATCTGTTCAAAGACTCTCAACCAATTGATAATGAACGCTCATACTCCTATCGGTGTTCAAACCCGTGATCTCTAGAGAAAATAACGAGTAGCTTTGTCATTGATTGTTTCTTTACCAACTTCAGTTGAGAAAATCTAAGTGATGCACATACACTTTACCTGCACTTAATTATTATGGAACTTACTCTAATACATCTATAAAAAAAATTGAAGAATGGTTATAAGTGATTTAATCTTTATGATTTAGGTGAAAGTTGTAATTGATGGTTTTATGAAGAATGATTTGTTGAAGATGATGAATAATATAAGACTAAGGGAAATAAAAATGAGTTCCAGCCTTCCTCTTCAACCAAACATGATAACTTAAATACTGATTATTCGTGTTGGTATTAGGTTCAAGGTTATGATGATTATTAATAGACGGTTAAATGAAATGGATATGACTGTTTGACAGTAGATTTGATTTTGACATAACATATTAACATGTCATAGATCATGTTAAAAGAATATAGTAGTGGAGTTCCTCTGGACACTTTAACTAACAGAAAATTAATCGTAAAAATAAAATCTATTGAAGAAATTTAAAACAAATATAACACATGATATAAAATATAAAAATTGTAAATTAAAAAGAAATATAAATGGTAGAAGAAGAATAATGAGAAGTATAAAGAAACATTGAAGAATATGTAATGATTCTTGGTTTTTTTCTCCATTGAATGATATATAAGTAGATCTGTTAGAATTAAATCATAATAATTATGAAAATAAATCAGGATCTAATCATGTCAAATTATTAATAATAAAATAAACTAGATCTACGGAAGCGTACTTGAATTAATCGATAGATTGAAATCCCTGAATCTTTATTTAGTCGCGATCTTCCAAGAAGATAGAATTCTCTTAAGTATAAACTCTCCGACGAGGATAAGAGTAATAGGAGATGATTTATTTCTTGGTGACCATAACCCCTTTATATAACTGATTTAAGAATAAATTATTGTCTGTATTTATAACTTTTGTCCCCCATCAAATTATAAATACAACTTTAAGAGTATCTATATTTTTTTTATTTCCATGACACTTCTAATACCTTGCGAATTTATAACATAATTGATCACTTAATTTATGTCATATTTTATGATAACAATATACATTAAAAATATGTGCCCACGATTATGGATTTTAATCTAACAATCTCCCACTTGTGCAACATATGTTTCCTGATAAATGTATAACATTATGAACTCAAAATTGTTATCATGCAATAGGTATTCTGTAACAATCTCGTCCATCAACTATATCCATATAGGATCAAAATGACCTTTGCCATATCAATCATGACTAGACCCATAAATGGTAACATATACAAGCACAGTCAAATGATATAGATCAATTATGAAGCGTAACATGAAAATTACATGCAATGTGAACTGTACATGTCTATTTCTAACCGATCATCTTTAGTGAGATCACATTTTTTTACCAAAACCAAAGTGATAAACCAAAGCAAATTTTATTTCTGCAAAAAATAACCTTAAAAAATATCCTTAAACTGAAGTAACTGGAATTGTGTTTATAACCAACAAGCATTTAAATTACAAACTCCCACTAAAACTGAATATTATTACCACATGTGTCGTTTGAAATCTGACCAAATATTAACTTCAAATATTAACTTTCCTTTGGTTCAATTAATAAACACATGAATTACAAGAAACACAAAATCATCTTGATATTTCGAATAAATTAGTTTACACAAAAGAAGTCACTTTGGTGACATTTTGTTTCAACTAATCTACCAAAATATTAGACCTAATCAAAATATAAATTAATTTGTCTCAATAAATATATACTAATAACCAAAAATTGAAATTAAAATTTTGGTCAAACCAAATTGAATATATACATATATTGCATTAACAATATAAAATAAACTATATAAATATTATCAACCAATTAATTTCTCTCAATTTTATCTTTTAAGTAAAATATAATCAAAATAATATTAAATTTGAATAACCTTAAACCTCATCTCGAGATATCAGATATTCCATTAATATTTCATCTATAGACAAAATATTCACCTTAAGTGATATCTGATGCAATAATCAAACACTGATAATAAGAATATGTCAAGCAAAAATCTTCCTTTGGGTCGATTTATTACTTACACATTAAACCAAATAATTATCACATACTTATTACCAAAGTTGTATATGCAATTTTGTCAACTATTAATCTTCCGTTGGGTTGATCAATACTAACATATCTTAAGTTACATTTACATACCCTTCATATTTTAAAACTAAAATATTTTCCACAATAGAAGTCACTTTAAAGACTTAATGCTTTAATTAAGTCATCTAAAAATATTAATATTCAAATTTAATATTTTTATAACAATCAAAGATCAAAACTGAAAATTTTAGTTGTACTATAATTTCCGAAATAACCCAAAATAAGGTTACATAAATGGTGTTATAAAAAAACGAAAACTCAAGTATTTGATTGTTTCTGAAAAATTCCTTAAATATTCATTTAATTCATAATTGAATTAAATTACCAAAGATAAACCAGATTAAAAAATAATCAATATTTAACCAAAAGTCAAGGTCAAAGTGCATATTAGTAAATTAAATCTTTAAACAAACTGAATCGAATATAGCAATGTCATATATATATATATATATATATTCTATAATCCATAACAATAAAAAATCAAAACTAAATTTTCTAATCACATCATCGTTTCCATAGTAAGCCATAATATTTATATAATAAATACGCACAATTTTAGATACTCGGAACAGTCCTTGAAGAAGTGAGACGTATGGGTCTGTCGGTGGGTTGGGACGAAGGGAAAAGACTGATCAATGTGGGTATTGATCAAGTCTGCCCAAGTGAATTTCTAATTCCAGATGACATGCACAAGATAATCTCTTGGTCCCTGCAAGTAGACCCATGCTAACAGTGCATGTCTTCCAATTTCATTTAAAATTCTAAGACCACGTGAAATTTTATGTAAGAACAACCTATTTAAAAAATTATATTAAAAATTAAAAATTCTAAAATATAAAAAATATTTAAATTACTTAAATTTTGAAATTTTTTAGTGCGACTCCACCGAACCCCATCTGTCTATTTCTGTCCAATATATATAAATTCTAATCCTTTCCACTTCCACTGATTCTTCATCTTTATAAGATAAAAATTAGCTGATCCTTATTCTCATATGTAATAGGGTAAGGGGAGGTAGGATAGTAGGCTGACCTAAATACCAGGTTGAGAGATGCTTTCGTAAGAGACCTCCGAATTATGAATTGCCCACCATAAGATCGATCCCACAACCACAAAGTCAAGATGCTTGTCTCCATATACAATGGAGGAATCTACCCAAGACAGCATATCCCCCACCCCAACCCCCACCCCCACCCTCCTCGACGTATAAAAGATAATGCGACATTTATAGCCAGTAAATAGTCACTTCAATACTATCCCATTCATCATGTAAACCTTATCTTTCCCCGGTTCTTTTATACTTATTAAAATATGACAACGTTGAAGCTATTGAATAGTTTTATAAATAAAAAATATTATTCTTTCTAAGAGATTCTAATTTGAGTAATTATGTTTATAGAGTATGTGCATTTATTGGTGGACTAATATTTTTTTATAAATATTATATTATAATTACTCCATACTATTAAAAAAATAAAAATATTAATAATTTTTTGTTAGTTACAATGGTGAGCGACACTTGATGGGGACTTTGATCAAGGTTACAATTTGTATTTCATCTAAAATTCAAGGATCAAATTTATAAATATTTAAAACTTAAAAGTCAAATTAGTATTTCATCTCAAGTGTAATAGCCAAATTAAAATACAACATATTTTACTAATGTATGACCTCATCAAACTAATGACACATAACATCTCCGTGACCAAAATATTATAAATCAATAATGTAAGTGATCAAAATAGTATAAATCAATAACACAAGTGACCATAACATTATTTTCTTTAAACTAACAACCAAAAGTGAATAAAACAAAAAAAATGATCATTTTAATAATTATCATTGCTTATATTTTATACTTACACCAAATTAATTATTTATATTTATTAAGGAATAAAATATAATTACACAATATAAAACTCTTTTAATTTTCTAAAAATTTGAAACGGTTAGATGAATAAAAATAGATGATTGAGTTTAACCATAGAAAATGAGATTAACAATAGTTTATCATTATTTATAATTTTATGTACGATTAATAAATCAAACAATAATATATATGTAATTAAAAATATTTTTTTAATTGAATTTTAACATCTCCAAATCTAAAGTCCAATCCATACAAATGGTCTTACCAAGTCGGGCAGGGCGTTCGGCTAATGGACAGGCATAGTAGACACAATAATTCAAGTAATTTGGTTGGAGTAAAAATTTCCAACCAATATTTTTGGAATTGTCCATAGTCTCACTCTTCCACGATTCAAATCCTGGCCAGTATTATATATATAAAAAAGTCTCAACCGTATAGACACCGTAGATCTTTACGAGCACCTCTAATTTCCAAGATCTTTGCAAGTTTGTCTCAGTTTTCAGCTGATGAAGCACTACCTAGCGACGTGAGAACCAAGAAGTTTTACCTAATCTTTTGCTGCCGTGTCTGAGGTAAAGTTTTATACCATTGACATCGACGTGACCGCCAGTTGTCCACCATTGCAGAACCAAAGGTAATAAAAAGACAAGGAATGTAATGCCTTTCTTTACCCAAGATAAAAGTGGAAGAACAAAGCAGACCACCCAGAACCAAAAGAATTGATTTCTCCTTCTCAACTGTCCATACTCCATAGGATGCGTATATATTGGAAGATTATATTTGATCATGACGAATTTTAGCCATTATCACTTTTAAAAACGCATTTTGAGACATCTTGCGAATCAGCGGGTATGGACCATTAAATTAAATATGCCTGTCATATTATTATTGTCACGTCTTAAAGAAATGAGACATTAATCTCATATAAGAAAAAAGGAAAAATCTTAAAATATATAAGCGATGATGCTGCGTATCGTATCATACATATTTTTTTGGTAAAAAAATTATAGCTTTATGACAAGTGATATTGGAATAACTCGTTTGATTATCCGATTTCACATCAAGCGTCTCAGTGAATTGAGTAGCTAAGATGAATAATTGTGGTGATGACTCATAACAAGGCGTCATCACAATTCAATTACAGGAATAAAATAATTGCAGAAGATTATGTAAAGTTGACTTCATTAATTTAAGAATAAAACATGTTACAAGCTAATCAAGAGCTATACGTACAAAGCACATGAGAGACAATGAAAGCTACACAAACTACAGCAATACACATTACCACTCCTCAAAGTGAGCAGTTTGATTAATTTTAGCCAATTTTATTTAGTTTTTTTTCCTTTTTAGCGTGATAATTGAAAGTGCTTAATTTAACATAGAGTGATTTGGCTTGAGCAAAGGTATTAGCCCTCCACTTAGATGGAGGGACATGACTTCATTGGTGGAACCCACCAGCTTTCCACCTATGAAGACGGCCGGAACCGGCGGACTATACCCCAACCTCGAGAGCGCGCTCTCCATTTCCCTCCCTTCGGGGTCTTGATCGAGCTCATGGACCGTCGGGGTCACCCTGATCTCTTGGAATAGAATCTTGACCGCATAGCACAAGCAACATGAGCTCTTGCTGAATAGCACTAATCCATTCTCTGAGGCCAACCTCATCACCTTGTCCATGTCGAAAAATCCTGGTAATTGATCAAAATGTTTACTTAAGAAAATGTTTCTAGTTTGAGATTAAGGACAGTCGGACCGATTTCCAAGAGCAGTGGATCCAATGGTGGTGGGAGGAGGTTGGACTAATGAGAAAGTGAAGTGGGGAAAGAGAGAAAAATGTTCAAAGCTTGAGGTTGCTGGAAATTTAAGCTCCCATGGTAGAGTATTTATAGGGACATCATAAAGTAGACTATATTGAACATAGGAACATTCAAAAGAAAATATCAAATAATTTTAACAACAGAAGTGGTTCAAGTAGTGCATATAAATTTTCCATTATTTCAGAATACTTTCTCATTATTTCAATGAAGATGCAACAAAAGTAAAAATTTGTGAGGCTAGCTAGTCAATTTACATCAGATTCTCACAATCGTCTCCTTTTTGAATCCCTTATGCAGAAAGATTACGAAGGAGATCGCGAATGTGATCCATTTTCGCCCACCAACTTGTATGATTCTTCCCACATATGAGTTCGCATGCATTTAGGCTCACGCTCACTTCATGCATGATATATACATAGCGCCATCACGTGTGGGAGTGAGCCTAGCACACACGTGTGCAATGAAAACAACTCTTCCCTGTAGATGTGGGACAGGATTCTCCATCCTTTTTGCTATCTTACTTCAAAGAATATAAGTAATCGGCTTTAACAGTAGTGCACAATTGTAGAAAGAGTTTTGCTATTGTATGTATACCACCCATAACTATTTTATATGTTTGTGTTTGTGGTTGTGTATCATCCACCATGACGGTTGTCTCTCAAGCATGGCAGCACATGTTAGAATAAATAAGGGTTCAATCTCCAGTGGTCAATACTATGATATCTTCGCAACATTCTAACCATGAATGCAACGTTAGGTATTGTATATACCCAGCAACATACGTATATATAATGTATTTCATTTACTCATTCCCAAAGTCTTTCTTTGCACGCTAGTTCAAATTGAAGTTATCATCCTTCACAAAGAGGATTTTCAAAGTTTTGCAGATGAGTTCTGGATCGAGGAAAACCCTCCTGTTGCATCTTCTCTCGCGGAATCCGTTCGAAGATGGTCCAATCCTTAGTGAATGATATTGTCTGGTTTTGAAGAGGGGGCTCACTTATCTATTTGGTCGATCCTCAACCATCCTCAATATTGCTCATTCAACGTCGATTGCCTAACTCTGTTTAGAGGATTTGGAAGATTCTATCTGACTTAAGCTTCTAGGGAGAAATAGTGTTGTTTGCTTGGTTTATCTTGTCCATAGTATATTTATTTCTCCAGCTCCATTTTAATTGTTTGTCTGCCATAAATATATCTATGCAAGATACGTACTCACACCCGACACTTGCACTTGAGTCCGAATAACTTAATGGACATATGCAAATATTTTTTTGGTAAAACATATAATCATTTGATATAAAATCATTAACTAAACTTTCTAACAGCTAACTGACATCTTGACCGTAGGTCATGTGTGTAGTCAATGGAGAAAGTGAGGAACTAACAACTTTGAATGTAAACTCTTCAAAAATTAATTCACACCTTCAAAAGAAAAAGCACTAAAAATTCTGTAGTAGCCTCAAGAATTTCATCAGCATGATGTTGCTTTCGCAAGTATAGTCAAATTCATGACAGAGGGGATAAGTTTTGAGATGGATCAATATGATTCTTCATTACCAGAAACAACAGTTAAACGCATTTCTGCTTCGTGGAAACTTTATTCTATTCTACTCTTCGGTGGGAATATCGATCCTACGTTTTATTTAAAGCCATGCATTTGTGTCTGTTTCCGATAGGAAAGAATCCTCCATAACATCAGTCTTTGTTTCTTGCATGTTTTCGTATAAGATCCAGTTACAGATCTAAAAATATTTTTTTAGGGTGAACACCTAATATATTAATAACACAAAATTTATTGAAAATAAAAAAATTCAAATTTTAGTATCAACACAATCAGTAAAATAGATAACTAATAGTAGAAGAAAATTAGCCACCCTGATTTACATGTGCATCCGCCGTTGATCATCTCGATCCATGGAAATTCATGGAAATTGAATAAACATGCACATGTGAATGAGAGAGAGAGAGAGAGAGAGAGCAAAGCCTTCACAGTAGTTCTAAGTTTAATTGCCAATGGAAATGGACGATTAAGTTGTTTCCATTTTTATTTTATTTTTACATGGTTATTGCTAGAACCAGATGGCCTTTGCATCTTTGAGCATTTGTTTCAGTGACCCATCTACATGAAGGGATATGACATCTTTTGCTGAGCCTACGAATCTTCCACCGATGAACACCGCAGGGACGGAGGGATCACACCCTAACCCTCGTAGAGCCCGTTCCATGTCTCGACCATTAGGATCGTGGTCGAGCTCATGGATCGCCGGGCTAGCACCAAGCTCGTAAAATAGTGTCTTGATGCTATAACACATGTAACATGAGCTCTTTGTGAATATTACAGCTGCCTTCTTCGATGCCAAATCTCTCACCTTGTCCATTACCACAAGTCGATTAATGCAGCTAATAAGTAGCAAAAGAAACTGAATATTGAAAAGAGATGAAACAGGCAAATAAGTGAGCAGGCTTAGCTCTGGTGGAGTTTGAGATTGCACCATCTCGTATTTATAAGGCGTGGGGAGAGAAAGTTGGATGTTGTATTAATTGTTTAATGCAAACATAATAAAAAAAACAAAGTAAAAGTAGCATAAAAAGGAAGGAAGTTCCTTAAGAAATAAGATTTTGCATGACAGTGACGACACTGTTATACAAACAAGTTGAAATCAGTAACAATCATATTGCTAAATAAATCAAATTTCCTGGATTGTCCGTACGTCTAAATTATGTTGGGAATATATATAATCAATAAGCATTTTCGGCACTGGCAGGTAGCATACATATTACGAAAATGATTTTAAACGCAACGAGGGAGACAGGAATAATGACACTTTAATGGTATCAAATGATAAAATATTAGTAGATTGATTGTTTTTCTCACTGCAATCAATTCAGATTGTCAATGACATGGAATGGAATAACTACTTTTTCCTCGTGAGTTTGAGATATAATCGATTTTATCTGCAATTTTTTTAATGAGCACGACGATAATGAAGATGATAACTGAGAAAAAGGTTCTTATCCCCACCATCAAAATGCCATTCCCCTCTGCAAGTAGTGATCTTGCTTTCATGGATTATGGCATTTTAAGTTTATTAAGAGCATGACGGAATTTTTTTGTTGTAGCTCCGGAGTAAAGACTGAATTTTTGTTGGTCGATCGTCCTTTCACTCATCGTAACTCTTCGTTCAAATTTAAAGGAATGAATCGTCAACGACCGACGAAGCACACTTGTTCCTATCAAAATTCTTAAACTGCCTCCCTTTTGAGTTTCATGGTACTTTTTTGGTAGCGTATCGTGGTGAAATTGGTTTTTGCTGATGTGGGATAGATAAGAGTTTATCCAATTCATTGCCACTTTCCTGCATCGGTCCCCTTCAATCCTCGTTGCAAAATTCATGTTATATAAAAATATGTATCCGTGTGTGTGTAAAAACAGCAAGATTTGAAGAGGAAAAGGGATTTGACGTAAGCAAAATGTCATGAACAAAGTAGCAAACACCCATGCTTCATCGTAAAAGTGATGGCTCATAGCCATAGATCTCTTATATGTATAGATATATCCGGATGGACCGAGGCGTTGGCGGAGATCCTCTCTCCTCAAAATTTTAAATTCTCATATAATCTAATTATCTTTTGCTGTTTTCGATTGATAATCTATATTTATCTTCTTAAAATTTTATAAGTCCATTTCTATATAAAATTATATACCCGTTACTAGATGTATCTAAAAATAAATGGAGCAGGGGAATATTTTGAGGCTTATCCATGCCTAATAAATTGGAGGGACAAATAGAATTGTCTTTGCAAAGATAGCAAAGGCCACATACTTTGGCAACACTTGGAATGAAAAAGGCAAAGAGAACAAAAGAGAAGAGAAGCTAGTGACCTACTTGGCCCCTCCATGACCATCCGAATCTCCATTTTGGCTTTAAACAGTAGTGCAGTATGAGTAGGTGCATCTTCTTCCACCGTTTGTTCTACGTCGTCTCTTTAGCTTTTACCATGCACGAATCCTTGTTCTTTTAGACTGCACGTGACACGGTCTCCTCGCCCACTTCAACCTCCGATTCTTGCACCATCCATCCTTCTGAAAATTTTAAATTTATATATAATTTAAGTATTTTTAAGTACTTTTATTGATAATCTATTTTTTTAAATTTTATAAGTCAACTTTTAATATAAAATATTACTTTCGTTCTTGCATCATCTATGCAATAGATTTTCATCACCAACATTTTTTCTTAAGATTTTACGATCGAATCTCACTTTATATAAATTATGTGTAAAGTTTATTTGAATATATTTTAAATTTTAATCTGAATATGTTATAATATTTTATTCGAATTATGAGTAACAAAAGAAAACTCTACGACGAAGTTGATTATTTTAAATTTATATAATAATATAAATTGATTATTTGACACATATCTAATGAATAAGTTGATTATTTTAAATTTATATAATAATATTCAAACTTAATGTAAATTAAAAAATTAAACTTTTACATAGATTTTGTTTAGCATTACGCTTAAAAAGTAATTTGGAATCAACGGGATTGATTTAAGTAAATATCGCTTAAGTATATATTGAGTTTGAGGTTTTGAGTATGCAGAAAATTCTCGCGTGGAGACTTACCCATCAAAATTAGACGTGCGAAAAGGATCGATCCGATTAATCATGACGAAATTTTAAAATCAGAAGAACAACAACAACAAAAATACTTTTGGAGTCAAAATCACATTTTAAATCATAATTAATACTAAACAAATAACTCTAAAACTAGAAAATTTAACATCTATATTTGAAAAGCGTTTCTTGAGCTAAAATTATAATTATAATTTTTATTTGTTGGCGTATAATGGGTTTAGTTTGAAATTTATAAATTTGTAATTTTAATCGAGATATGATTATATGATTAATAAATTATCTATACTTTTTTTTAAAACTTTATGTATCTGTCAATTGTCTTTAGATAAAAATCATTTTTATTTTATATAATTTTATGGAACTCTACAATCATTATAAATTTATTTCTTTTTAATATTTTTTACATTTTTATAATAATTTAAGTTAGTATATTATATATATTATAATATTAAAGAATTTAAAATAGTTTAAATATATATTTGAACTTACATCATCATATCTAAATGATCATTTATTTAAAACAAATAAATTTAAACATTTAAATCTTAAACTAAAAAGTTTAAAATGATTTTTGAATGTACTTTTCATAATATTTTTCATTGTACTTTTAAAAAGTAATATTAAACTAAACTTTATTAGAGCTGGTCCTCTAATTTACCCATTCCCAAGTTTTAGCCCAAAAGCAGCCTACGTTTTACATTTTCGTTTCTTTGGGCATAAAATAGTAATAACACACACGCGTATTGGATTGGCCCAGAGGCCACAGCATACAAAATCAGGCCAGAGTTCAGGCACATAACAGACTGTTTCGCAATATGTTTAAATGATCGGTTCAATTATTAAAATCAAATTAATTAAAGTTTTAAAATATTTATAAAAATAATTAATGAAACTAAATTAATCTCTAATCAATTTTTGAATTAGTACTATGACGTAATCGCCACCGCACATGATGAACCTCCTTTTTTGGTAGCGCTAACACTCGGCAGAGGCCGGCCACACGTATGGCGCGAAGAGTTTTAACTTTCCTGTGTGTGTTGTTATAACACTCGGCGGAGCCTCTATGTCCGAAGATAACCTTCTTGAGCTTTCTAAGGTTATGAGACAGAGAAAAGTTTTAATGAGATCCTCCTTCAAGTTCTTTAGGGATTTCAAAATATAGAAGAGGTACAATGAAATCTTACCTTGGATGAGCCATTTGTCATATTGTTTTTAGTAATTTTGGAGGGCTAGCATAAGGGAACCCTAAACACCCATCAATTTGCCTTCTCTATCAAAATTCCTTCCATCAATCATCTGTTCACGTTTGGCCAAAAATGAAGCGACAACCGATTTCAGCTTCCAGGCGGCCAAAACGCGCTGGCGACGGGATCTGGAAACACAACATTTTTTTTTATTGATCTTGACAATTATTAAAAGTTATAAAATGATACTCCTACTATAAGATGTTTTGTTGAGTTCTCATATTATTAAAAGTTATAAAATGTTTATCCGACTATTTATGTTCTAAAGTTATCATTTTCGATTAAAAAGTTAAATCGTCTAAGCTGAATGTTAATTTACTGAGATATGATAAAATCATATTCTAATGATGTCTATTAACATTGTCGTTGTTTATAAGCATTGACTTACCAACATAATGTTTCAAGCACTGACTCGACAATATAACGACATCAGATTTGATCCACAAATTTTAATATATTCCAGTCAACATATTAACGTCCATATCATACGACCGCTAATTTTTTAACAGAAAATGATGAGTTTAAAACATATGAATAGTCTGGTGATCATTTTATAACTTTTAATAATTAGTAGACTCAACAAAATACTCTATAGTCGGTAGACCATTTGTATACTTTATCCACATACAAATTAAATTTATAATTATATATAAGATAAAACGAACTGTTTAAATATATCTTTTTGGTCAATGATCTTTTAAAATTTTGTAAGAAAATATTAAATCGAAAATCATTTTTACGTTCTCTAGTATACTTTAACTAAATTAATCTATTGCATAAATTCTACTCATAAACACCTTTAGCTAAACCCTAAGAAACAATTAAAGTAGGTGAATAAACATTCATATTTGGCTATTCTTAACTCTTCCAAGTCGTCGGAGTTGGGAAAGTATGCATATAATAGTCTGAAGGAATCGAAAGTTCAGTGAAATGATCTGCAACACTATTAATCTCTCGAAATACGGATGAATTGAATCTTCCTTGAAGAGGACAGAGATCCAAGATCGAGCAAGCTAAAATGAGTGCTAAATCTGTTATTTAATTTTTTTTTTGTTTTAGTACATATATGATATAGTTAGTATATGTCAGACAATGGATCTAACGCAATAAAAGATAATTTTTTATCTTGTTGGTAGGTTGTTTGTTCATACACTTTATGACCATCGACATGTTTTTGGAGGTATTCACAATTTTTTTAAGCTAATTAATAATGAACGCATTGCGTATATATTAAAAACATAATTATTCGAACATGAGATCTTTAAAGAGAACGGCATTTCCTTTTATCGCTCAATAAGTTCTTCATATACAAATCCTCATAGTCGCACATCCGCCAAATAGTTACCGTTTAAGACAATCTTTTTGCTGCGTGCGCCTCGCATTCCCTCGAGACCTTTTCAAAATGTCATGGCAATGATTTCACTGAACAAATCAACCCCAAAATTCATCACTCCAATCTCACACTACATATAATTTCTGTATACTCTTTCAGTTATTCTGACATTTTACAATAGTCATGATTCTGAGTAACGCCGTCGCCCACGGGATGAGAATCGAGACTCTGAATTCGCTTTACCCCCAACAGGCTTCAAATTGTTGATCCTGAACAAGGAATGAAGCTTTCTTAGCTTCTTGGTGAGTGATTTGAGTAGCTTGTTAGCGGGATGCTGTCTAACACACTCTTGTTTCATTGACACATGATCTTTTTCCAGGTCGGTTAGCCGCATTCTCATTCTCGTGACTTCGAGTTTCAGCTCTCGATTCTCTCGTCTCACCGATGCATAGTTGTCCCTCGGTGAGATGGCTCCGCTCCCTACACCGCTACTCGAACGTTGAGGGAACTGACCATTGGTCGCCCCGAAGAAGAACTGATTGTGGCCTCCACTCATTGCGTTCCGAAGCCTGATTTGTTCGAAATACAACACCTGGACAGCCATTTGCACCGGTAACCTTTCGTTCTGCGCCGCATGGCTGCAGGCTTCTTGAGATAGTTTCTGACAGTCTATGGTTTTGCATAGTCTATAGCGTTCGGAATCCTTTATGTTTGGATGAACCTGTAAATGGAAGCAGAAAACCATTCTAAGAGCCTGCAAATGAAATTATGAAACGCCTAAAGATGACTTAGTTATGGAGCTACTTAGTGCCTTATTTTGAGAACCTCACTTTGAGGAAGATATCGACAGCTTCGTATAATCCGTCACTAACGACACGAGCATGGTCCGGAAGAGATTCTGCAACTGCTATGAATTTTGATGGCAACAAGTTTGTGTCTAGTGCGACTTCTGCAAGATAAGTGTCAAATAACTTGGATACTTTGAAGATTGAACTTTGTTTGGGAGACCTTTGGCTGTCAAATTCATATGTCATGTCACTTTCATCACTCCTTGTGTTTTTCTTGGCTACTCTTTAACACAAAGTGCATATATCTGTCCGCTCTATCCACTTTAAAATATACATTTCTCGTCATGTCAAATTTCTTGAAAACTCATTCCCTTTAGCACTCACCAAATCCATCTAGCGCGTCCCACCCCAGAGATCATTTCCAAATGGTTCCCCCGGTCCAATTTTACCAATTTCAAGTGACTCACTCAAGCCTCCTCCACAAGGATTCCTCATGTCAACATCCGTCACAAATACCCAAACAGACCACTGCCCTTCCTCATCTCGACCGTCGATCCTATCCATAGACCTCCCTTTACCCGACACAGCTCGGTTAATCGCCAAGAAACATCGTCGCCATTTACCACTAGAACCACACATCTGAGACCTCTTCTGCTTCAATCATAGCGCAACCACCCATCAAAATACCCATCCCATGACCACTAGATCGAAAACAACATCCATAAACCCCTAACCAAAATAAACCTCACTGCTATCATTTCTCAACCATCAGACATTGAGCCTCATACTGTTTCTCAAGCCCTAAAAGATCCCAAATGGAGACAAGCTATGAATGATAAGTGATGCTCTTGTTCGGAATGGAACTTGGGAGCTTGTTCCATCTACTTCTCTGCAGAATCTTGTTGGATGTAAGTGGGTCTTTCGTATTAAACAGCTTCCTAATGGTTCTATTGACAGGTACAAAGCTAGATTAGTTGCCAAAGCTTTCATCAAATACCTGGATGGATTATCATGACACCTTTAGTCCGGTTGTCAAGCCGACAACAATACGACTTGTTCTAAGCCTGGCAGTCAGTAGAGGTTGGCATTGCGACAATTGGATGTTAATAATGCCTTTCTTCAGGGCCATCTTTCCGAAGATGTCTACATGGCCCGCCTCAGGATTTGTTGATAAAGACAATCCAACACATGTATGCAAACTAAAGAGGCAATATATGGACTCAGCAGGCCCCACGGGCTTGGTACCTTGAACTTCACCAATTCCTCATTGAGTCTGGGTTCACAAACTCTCAAGCAGACAATTCCCTATTCATTCTTCACTCAGGTGACTACTATATCTACTTGTTTTGTGGATGACATTATCACAGGCACCAACACCAATATTATTCAGCGCTACATTGACCTCATGGCCAAAGATTTTCATCAAGGATCTTGGCACATTGTCTTTTTTCTCGGCATTGAGGTTCTAACCTACTCCATCTGGTCTGCTGCTTACTCAAGGCGCTACATCACTGATCTTCTTGCCCGGACAAAAATGATTGGTGCAAACCTGTTGCTACACCACTTGTTACGATGGAAATCTTACACTTCATTCAGGTACAGCTCTAACTGACTGCACAGAATATAGAACAATTGTTGGCAGTCTACAGTATCTTTGCCTCACTCGCCCAGACATAGCATATGCTGTCAACAACTTTCTCAATTCATGCATCGCCCGACGTCTGAACATTGGAATGCTGCAAAACGACTGCTTCGATATCTATGTGGCACATTAACTCATGGATTATTCCTTCACAAGGCAAATCCACTTTCCCTTCATGCATTCTCAGATGCTGATTGGGCTGGAAACAAAGATGATTATACCTCAACGAGTGCCTATATTGTCTATCTTGGGTCGTCAAACCTATTTCTTGGTCATCCAAGAAACAACGTACAGTTGCTCGATCCTCCACGAGGCTGAGTATCGATCAGTTGCCGCTACTACTTCTGAACTCAATTGGATTTGTTCCCTTCTCACAGAACTTGGAATCACTCTTTCTACACCGCCTGTTATCTACTGCGACAATGTTGGTGCCACCTATCTCTGTTCTAATCCAGTCTTTCATTCGCGCATGAAACATGTGCACTTGACTATCACTTTATTCGGGTCAAGTTCAATCAGGGCTCTTCGTGTTACTCATGTTTCCTCAGCAGATCAACTTGCCGACGCTCTACCAAACCGCTTCCACGAAGCCGATTCCAAGATTTAAGGGTCAAGATTGGTGTCTCCTCCGGAGCTCCATCTTGAGGGGGCATATTAGAGAATTAATTATAATAGATTTTATCTATATTTTAAATTATTGTAATCAATTATAATATTCTTGTAATTAGTTGTAATCCCCTAACTCTAGGCTAGTCTCCTATTTCTATGCCTTGTAATTAGTTGTAATCCCCTAACTCTAGGCTAGTTTCCTATTTCTATGTGTCCAATTTTATGTATATATATTCACTCTTAATCAATGGAAAACTTAAGCCATTGTTTCTCTTTACTCTTCTCTCTATTTCAACATTTGACATGGTTTTTCTTCTGTTGTTTAATTTGCAGGATTCCTGTAGGGTTTGCAGTGCTTTTAGGGGCATGTAATCATTGCTTAAATAAAAAGACCTTGCTTGATTCAACTCAAATACATCACTCAACAATATTACTTTATATTTCTGCATATTATATGTACATTATTTATATATACATATAGCCTATGCCCTGGCTAGAAGCCTAGGCTTCAAATTTAGGGACATCCCTTTGCGGGCAAAATCACTATGACATTACCTTAACTGCTACAATTTCCTGAATTTCTTCATGTCAGATTTCATTCCTTTGGCCTTGCAATACACTACTGATGATTGGGGCAAGCAAGTTTTCTTTCTCTTTTTTTTTCTACCTTAAAGGAAGGGTCATTCTTTTATTAGTCCCTCTAATAAAACAAGTTTTTGTCCTTAAATTTGTTAAGTCTAGCTATGCTATTAGTTCTTGTAATATACTAATATGTAAGTTTAAGATTTAGTTCATGTTCTTCAATTTAATTATTTTAAGTCCTTACAGTTTAATTATATTATCATATTGTTAGATTGAAGTCCTTATAATTGTTGGCGTAATCATACAAAATATATGCATAACTTTTAGGGTGAATATTAAATTTACTGATGGTGTAGTTTACGTCCTCTTAAATTAATATATAATAATATATGATAAAAATAAATTTAGTTTTAAATATTATACAAATATATTAATATTCGATTTACGAATAGTACATAAAATTATTTGGCATTAATACATCATAAACTAATCAATTTGAACAGATTCCTTTTATGTAATTCAGCCATACCACGTTCACTAAGATGAGCAAGACACACATGCCACAGTTTGGTAGTATCATCACAAGACTTAACAGAATGAACGCCACCTACAACGGTACTCCCTAACAATCTGTAAATATTCCCTGCAGTCATCTTTCCTTTCATCACAGTCAAAGCTCCTTTAACAATTCGAATGGTTTTCCTATCCTCATCAGTCTTAGGAATAAAACCATTCTTGTGCAAAGTGCCCAAAGAAATCAAATTCTTCTTCAAATCTGGGATATGTCGAACACCACTCAACGTCCGAACAGAGCCATCATACATCTTAATTCTGACATCACCAATACCAACAATATTACAACATCCATCATCACCCAAATAAACAGAACCAGAATTAACTGACCTGTATGTCGAAAATCATTCTCTATTTGGCGTGATGTGATAAGAACATCCAGAATAAAGAATCCAAACATCCGTCAATTGAGTCGTTGAAATAGAGAGCATATCACCCTCACTGCAATCAGAATTGTCATCCTCGACCACATTCACAGACTTGGATGAATCATTACGCTTCTCATCAGTCTACTTTTTCAACTTCGGACAGTCTCGCTTCATATGTCCCGCCTCCTTGCACTTGTAACAGTGAATTGTCTTCTTATCCCTAGATTTGGATCTGGAATTCCACTTGCCAGACCCTGCCTTCTCTGGCTTCCGTCCACGGTCTCGATTACCCTTGACATATAAGCTATCGGCTTGAGAGCTTTCCCATGCATTCAGTTAATTTCGGTTTTAACCGAATTGATCGACTAAATTAATCGATCTAATTAACCGAATTAGTAAAAAATATGAAATATATATATAATATATTATTTAAAATTTCAGTTAATTCTATTAACCAACCGATTAACTAAAATTTGTTCGATTCAATTAATTATTTTCAAAAAAATTTGATTTGATTAACTGTTAAAACAAAAAAAATCAATTAATAAAGTTTTGAAAATTTGATTTAGTTAATTAATCGAACCGATAAATTGATGACCCCTATTTACGGTATGGAAAGGGTAAAAATGGATAGCGTGGAGAAGAGGGTTAAAGAGGGTGGGTTTTCGATGTTTTCTTATAAATTGTTTTCAAACTTTAGAAAATTGTTTTCAAAATTTAAATTAATAAAAAATTATGGGTTTCATGTTTTAACTTACAAAGCAAAGAAGACATTCATGTTTATCTCACCAATTAATCAAAACAACATCAATGTTTTACAAAATCTAGGCTTCGATGGCAGGATCGACTCTAAAACCTTCAAAGCTTGTGTTCCTCTCGTCACTCACAACTCGTACTTTGAAGATTTTTCTACAACACAAATGTTTATATGTTTTGTTAAAATTTATGATATAATTGGAGAATCTTTCTACAATTCTTACTATAAGGTAATGCTCTTCTATAAAAGTTTTATATGTTTTATAAATAATGATCAAATTTATATAAAATTGCTCTTTGCATCGGAAGCCATTACTATCTTTTAGGGTCACTAACACTTGACTTTTAAAAAAAAATTGAAAGATTTTATGCCTATTAATTGTTCTTTGCATCGAATGGAATTGAAATCTTTATATAACTACTTTTTAATTTAATTTAATTATAAAAGTTAAAGTTCTAATAATATCTTCCGATTTAATTCAAATTTAATTATTTTATGAAAATTATTATTATTCTTATGTAGTTTTTCTGTTTAATGTTAATGCTTGTAACTTGTATCTTTTATTTGTCTTTGGTTTTTGAATTTAGCTATGTTCAATTATAGATTGATTTCTATTTGAATGTCTATCGGTATATCTTTGTGCTTGGGGCAGTGACACAAACAGTGAGATTCTAACTAAGGTGCTTGCCGATTGAAAACTATTTTTAAACTCCAT